CTAATGGCATAGGATGATGCATCAAAGAGTATCTTCAACATTCCATATGATGTGACAGCGTATGAAAGTCTACAGGTAAAACGCCAGCTTTTAAAACAGTGCTTCGAGAATCTTCCTGAACGTGAACCTTCGCCATCCCTTGGATTTTAGGTTTTCGGATGAACGAGTAGTATCTGTTTTCCTGCCTATGAGCATATTCAAAACATGCCTAAAACCGTCGCGGCAGTAAATTATCCATTTAAAAAGCCGATGCTATGAGTGTATCGGTGTAGAAGTAGTGGAGATGAGAAGGTTGCTGTTTCGAGACTACCTTGTTTTATTGGCATCTTCCGAAACTGATGTACAGTGATCCCTGGAAAAATTCGCAACAGAGTGCGACTTGACCGACATGCGCGCGATCGTATTTAAAACGAAAAGCCTTGCGATTTCTCGTTCTTCTGCCAGTTACTCTTTTCACATTAACGGAAATGCAGTGGATCAGGTGAAGAAATGCAAGTACCTCGGAATCGTGTTCACCAGTGATGGAAAATTTGACGAAGTGATCGACAGGGCGAATTGGAGTAGCAGGTGTTGTTCTGCGTGTAGCAGCCCGTCATAATGAATAAATCAGAGTTGAGTCTGAAAACGAAGCTCTTGGTACTCAAGTTGATCCTTATCCACAAGCTTGCCTGCGGTAATGAGTCGTGGATCATCACTGAAAAGCTTCGAAGCTGGGTACATGCTGCTGAAATGGGTTTTCGTAGACAATTCGGTGGCCTTACCCGTCTCGACATGGTCCGGAATACTCTCATTCGGAAGAGCCTTGGTGTACCGCCTTTGCTTTTCCAGATTGAGAAGTCACAACTGCGATGGTTTAGCCATGTGTTGCGACTGCCTCCAGAAAGGAAGGCTATGCAGCTCTTTCTGGCGAATCCTACCGGCACAAGGCCCAGGGACGGCGAAGATTAACCTGATACAAACATATGGAAGGAGTGTGTTTCAGACTCAAGTTGTCTTCTGCTGAAGTTTAGGCTCTAGCACAGAATCGAGAGAGTTGGGAGCACCGTGTGATGCGTCTGCCTCCTCGACCCATGGACTACGAAGACGAAGAAGAACCAACCAATGTATTCACAAAAGCTTTTAATTACTGTTCATGTATCTGACAGTATGCAAAATCCGTACCAATTCTCTAATGATTCACTTTATAAATTTTATAAATCAATAGAAAGAAACTCATTCAAACGAAGTTAAATTCATACTTTTATTCTTAATGCATTAACCTGCAAGTCGTTTGTTACTACTGTATCAGTTTACTTTTGAATGTAAGCACCGTTGGACGCTTGTACATTCCTTTGAATTTTATCAAGCAGACAGAACCTGCTCATTAGTCTAAAGGTGTAATGTTTAATAAAATCCATAAAGTTGCTTGTTTTGAGTTGTGTAACATTTCTTGCATTGCAGGTACTCCCTAGCTGAGGTGTAAGTCTATGCTTCGAACCAAATTGTTACTTCTGTTTCTTTTCCACTTTTGGTTAGTTTATTTTTCTTAAATATATTGACCATTAAATATTTTTTTCTAACTGCTGTCAAAAAATTCCTTACTGTTAACTCTTTTTATTGTACGTTTATCCTAAAATTAGCAAACGAGTCACTGCCCGTTCTGAACTTCAGCGTTATGCCATTATACCATGTCATATAAGTGTCCACGAAAACAACAATGACAGTGGGAGCTTACAGTCGGAAATTGGGATATATTCTCACTCATATTGACAGATAAGGAGTCGGATCATGAGGCCTCAAGGTATTAACTCGAGTAATAGTTAATCGACTCTCGTAAACGAAGCGCATAAGCTCTGGAATTCGTAATCACTGCGGATAGAAGCTCTTCTACTCTGATGAAGACATCACCACGCGTGCTCAGGGGATGTTGCTCTTTTAGTGGAACCGGTGTTTCGTTTCGGAATTAGTGTTCGCGTTGAGAAACGCATTGCTGCTAACCGATCATCACCTTGCTGGCTCTGTATCCTGTGAGATGGAGTACCATGTGACGATCTGGTGACAGAAGCAATCAGAGGATGAGATAGGAAGCACTATTTTCGGTGGACACTAGAGCGAAATTTGCAAACAACATCACACGGCTGTTTGAACAGATCTCGGTAATGACCACCGATGTTGAAACCGAGTAGCAGCTATTTAAGAGCGGCATTTTCGAGGCTGCCGCCGAATTCTGCGTATTTAAACGGGTTGGACTCTCGCCTGGAGTCAGAAAAGATCTTCCAGATGGACACTAGAGGTACAAGTGGCAGTTAAAGAGAAGAAATGGC